GATGGAAATCACGTTTTGTTACATATCTTGTGTTCCTGACACATTATTCATCAGGAGTCACTCTTTGTGCTATTACCGTATTCACGGGCGTCAAGACGTACGTGTACACATGCGGAAATCTTTTAAAATGCTAAAAATTATTCTTTAAAAAAAAAACTAATTACAGCATATTTTAGATATTATGACACTTTTCAATCAGCACCGCGTGATCTTAATGAGGGTCAAAGTGCGGCGGATCACCTAACTCGTCCTCAGTGACGAGTTCAAATCTAGTATTTTTTATTTTGATTAAATTGAGCCTATTGTCATTAATCAATGGTTTTTGTTTGTTTTCCTGTTGCAGTACATAACAACACCATCAAGTTCACGGAGGAGTACAGTAAAAAGTGTAAGCTGTGGCGGTATACGATTTCGAAAAACACTGAGTGATCGCAGGAGGAAGTTGCGCGATTACAGTCACGCATCACCAAGACTCGTCAAAAAGGTTACTATGAACTTAAAATTTTAATTTTAAAATAATAAACAAGAAATACCTGTTAGATAAACAAAGAAATACATAACAACAATAATGTAAGAATTCAAAATGATTCTTACATGGTTGAGGGTAATGGCTGGTATGTTTTGTTTTAAATTATACAATGTTGCTCTTTATTGTGTCAGGCTTTTCGGTTGGGTTCCAACGGCTCTGACGGTAGCCAGCATTCGCAGCTTACTCAAGGCTCTCCAGGAAGTGGATTTGACAGTGACCAGGAGAGGGATGAGTTTGACTCTCAACAGGCTGTCTTTCCCCTGTTGATCAACTGCACAGCTCCAGTTGTCAGGATCCTCCCTAAGCTCACATCTTCAATGTGGTAAGTGTATTAAACATGGGAAATGATAATAATATCATATACTTTAAAAATGCCTTTATCTTCCCACCATTATTTCATAGCTTTATTAAGGTTACAAAAAAAAAAATCAAACATATTTAATAACAATGTAGACAAGGAGTAGTGGTTCCAGCAGGGTCAGATGGCAAATATCTCCCATTAGATAAGCTTAGACAAATGTCATTGAATGCCACTTGAGGTTGTCAAAGCCATTTACTGTAGCAATAATGTGGGTCAAAATCATGAATGTTTAAAAAATTCAGAAATCTATAACTGGGATCACATTTTTTTTTGCTTAGCCAGTTGGCTAAAGTCAACAATAATTTGACGAAAATTGTTAAAAATCATTAGCAAAAGCTTGCTGACTGGACATGGGGTCCAACATGTTCGACAGAGGAGTCTGAAGCAAGTGGCCGACTAGAATCCTGCCGGGTTGGATCCAGAGATGTACAAATTATTTAAATGTATTTTACATATTTGACGGTAACACGAAATCACTGAATAAATTAAATCGCATCGGCCCTCGTCTCGTGCCTTAGTGGAAAAACCCAATCTAGTGCTACCTTTAGTCTACGTCATAGCTGCTGCCCTGCATCTACCGCGTTAAAATCACAATTATAAATTTTAAAAACGATGTATTAAGTATTTCAAACTTTTTTTGATTTTAGGCTTTTGCCAAAATGGCTAAAGCAGTTGATTTTTTTTTCGCCAATCCAAAATAATTTTCGCCCATGGCGATTTGGTGAGCGGTTAGCGTGAGCCCAGTATAAGATATTTTGGTTTAAAATGATGGTGATTGTATGAGACTCAAACATGGGTTTTTTTCTTTTACAGGTCAAGAGGGTTGGGTCAGTTGATCAGGGCCCGAAATATTATCACAGTAGGACATCTTTCTGCTTTGACGCCAACAGATGTATGTTAAAATTTTGTTTTATATTTTCATAAATTAAAACATATTTATATTATTTGCCATGAAATTAAATATTGGTTCTTGCATAAAACTAATTAAATGAAGCAATTTACTAGGTAATATTTTTATGCTTTATAAGATACACACCACGCATTTTCGATGGACTTTCATGCATGAATGTTTTATAATTTCATGAATTGAAATATATCTATACATACTTTTTATTGGCTTGAAGATGAATAAATTGATTCTTGAATAAAACTAATGGATTGGACATTTCAACAGTGTTCACTGTTGTGTAATTTACTCTTTATCACGTACGCAGTACGCTTTTTCAATGCATCTTGGGAACTATTAACTACGTTAGCTTTTTGATTTATTTCTGCAGCTTAGAACGTTGCCAATACGATCACCAAAAGTCAAGACAGTGAAGAAAGCCCTGGAGACATTCCATCAACAATTGGTAAGACAACAATTTTATCATTTGACGTGGACCTACTTAAAGGTTGTTTTTAAAATTGTGCTGAAATAAATTTCTAAAATGTATATTAGATACTTGCTGTAATCATTTTTGAATTGTATTTTATGAAAATATATAAAAGGAAATGTTATAGAAATGTATTATATAATTTTATGTTAATTGTGTTTATTGTCTATAGAATGTGATATACATATATTGTGGCTATTTCATAGGCCGATTCTGCTAGGTTGGTCATGTGACAGTGCAAGTGACGCTCGCTAATAGGAAAACGTGTGGCTTCTTTGGTGTGTTTCTGCTGTAAAGCACATATATGATGTTGAATTATGTTGGTTGGAATGCCAGTAAACTACTCTATACCAAATTGATTAGAAATTTAACTCAAGAATTTTGCCATAATGATGTGCTAATGGTCCAAAAGATATTTGCCTCGAACATTGAGATTTTTCGAGATATGCTTGACCTAGGCCTCTGCATATCTTCAGCCTGTTTGGGTATACACTAAAGACTTTTTTGACACACTACAATTTCTAGGCCAGCTAAGGTTTACGAAGAATAACATAAATTCCAAAGCATACAAAGCACAGAGAATGCTAGAATAAAGTAAATAAACACTATTTTGAACAATCGTAGTGCCTTTCCTTGCCAGTTGTTTCTCGCATTAATAGTGGGCAGTTGTTTTTGCATAACATTAACTTTTCCTATACTTTCACACTGATTGCACTGCAAGTTCTCCGTAGTTATACCCACTGTAATATACTGCAGTATGCACATACATTTCCTACAGATTGCTAGGGGAGACAATGAGGTCCAACAGAATGTAAAAAATGCAATTCAAAAGGAAGGAACATCAGATAAAGAGAAATCCACAAATACATTGGGAACCAGCACAGATGTTGAAACTCTACTGAAAAACACTGGCACCGTCATCTCTGAAATGGACAAATTATCGCAGACGTTAAAAGAAAATTCTCCTGTGAAGACTAAAGTTACAGAGAATCATATTCAGAATGATTCTTTGAGAAATGTGGCAGTTGTAAGTGGTGTTGTCAGTGACACAAACTCAGATCCTGTTGAAAATAACTCTGATAAAGACTCGAGTAGCAGAAATTCACTAAAGAGAAAGTTAGAAGACACTACACCTAAAAAATCTAAGAAATGTAGACTGGTGGATAATTTAGAGGAACTAGCAAGCGAGTTTGTCAATGAAGATCTATCAGAACTCTCGAGCGAGCAGATCTTCAGGGCTCACCAACAAGTCAGCTCTTTGATGGTGTCCATCGTGCAAGCACTGCGAACTAAATGCCAATCACCTAAGTAGTCTGAAAAGGGCCATTGCCTTTTCTTTGCATTAACTCATCTAATTTATTAATGACTGTCCATTGCATGGATTCAGTCACTGTGAATATAGTTAATGTGATTTTTGTTTAAGCCTGTGACATAATTATTGTGTGTAAAGTTGTGAATTTTCTCTTTTACAGTTGATTCAAATGTTATCCTATTGGAATTAAAATGACTTTTGTACATGTTATTGATGATGAGTATTACAGTAATTATATATGATAGGATACCATCTAAATGTTAATCTGTAGTTTCTTATTTTAGTAGTCTATTTTAGCATTAATTGGTGTAATCACATCATTTCTACTCTGTGATGCAAGTTTGATATAGAATAAAACGGTACATGTTTATTTTTGTACATTTCTGCAAACTTTAATGATATGATATTAATCCGTTTCTATGCAAGTCAATTCTATTAAGATGTTATTTCATCAGGTTTAAATTTAATACAAGAACTGTTTTGTTAAATTTTAAAATGGTATTACTGTACCAATATTAATATTATTTTTGTTTTAATGTTTTTTGATATTTTTAAGGGTTTGTTCATAACCATTTTAAATCATTGATTAATAAATTTGTTACAAACAGTGAAATTGATTTGAATGTTGTTTTCTAAATGTTTTCTAAAGTATACAAGAAAGATGACAACCTTTATGTGGTTGTCCGTATCTTCACTGCAATGTAGCAGCACCACCAATTAAATAGTGAACATCCAGAAACTAGAGGCCGGCTCTAGGGATATACTTTTAGGAATGCTACCCAAAGTAGATTTTAAAGCTGGAAAAGGAAATGTTATCGCTGCATGTCGTACAAGAGAAGATAGCAACAGGAGTTTTATTGATTCAGTGTATTATATCAACTATTTCAGCTCCATATACTGGCGATTCTTGGTTTCCTGGCGGTGGCGGTTGGTAGGTCCTCTGTTGGACAAGTACAGTATGTACCCCTGTCAATAAATGCCACTTGAGGTCATTGTCCTACAAATGTTAGTTTGCCTATCCCGATTCAAAGGTACCTTAATGTTATAGTCTAATTTATCAATTTTACACCATCTTAAAAGTATGTGACAAGGAAGATTTGTTCACTTGACCCCCACCAGGTCGTAAGAAATTTGGTGTAGCCTCCTGTCAGAAATTTCTGAAAAAAATTCATTTCAGCAGTGGGATTAATCCCCCATCGTACAGGTCAAAGACTCCCACTGGCAAGCCCATCAGGCTGTCGGACCAAAAAGAAAATAGGCATACGCCATGGCAACACGTCTCACAGTCTGAGGTCAATATTTTTTTTTTAAATCGCACTTTGGAGGGAGAGAGGTCCCTATTTACAAAAATAACACCCCCTCCCAAACTTTCCTTACAGCCCTCGGTTGGTGCTACATGCCAAAGTTATCCTTATCCAACTCGGGGCCCCTATCGGACAGCTTTGCTCCTCCAGAAAATATATCCTACAGCTGACACTGCATATCAGCAGCTCAGAGCTGAAATACAAATTAGTGCTGCACACCTTTTGGAAGAAATGTTTGAAGAACACAAATTCATGGTAGACTACTTTTGTTGGTGCTGTCTGGTGTATTGCTACTCCTATATTTTATATTCACTCTAATGTATATCCACATCTGAAGGTAATGCAAATACTGTACTGTAGTTTACTTTTGTCCTTCTGCCTATGAATATAATCTGTGTATAATAAGAATAATAGAATAACTTTATTATTTCTCTTTTTTAACAGAGGCACAATCGCTAAAGAGATGTGCAAAAACAATTCACAATATAAGAGTAATAACAACATATGTACATTTTTAATATTTGTATTTAATATTAAATTAATAAATACTTTTTTTTGTCAAGAGTCACTGTGCCTCGGAATAGCACGCTAGATAAATGGTGCATTATAAGTGCTGTTTTTTTTTTCTGGCTTTTGGTGCAATCGGTGCTTTAGATCTGTTTTGTGCTTTGTACTTGAATAAATGCTGATGTACAATATTCAGATTTTTTTCAAAATAAAACTGAAGACAAAATTAACATCAAGAACGCAATACTTTATTGTTCCCTCTTCCACCATCCTTTCACATGTTTCATACAAGGTCCGTTATGTTTATCTATTAAACATAACTTCTGTATGCACTACTAACTTTAACATTTATATACAGTAAACAGTAATCTGTACATCTATTAACATATAATCTTCTGTACGTATTGCTTTGTCCCTATAGTGTTTCTACAGAAGAATAACACTGTATTACCAAAGGAAATTGGTATAGGTCATCTATTAAAGCCAGGCTCCAGAGAAAAAAAAATATGTTGTACAACTGAGACAAAAAGTGTATTTGATGAAAAACTCTGGAATATTTTTTTTAGGTTGTTTACGCTCCTTCCCTCCCAGGAACTTGGTTTTAAGTTCTGTTCACGTGACTATCAGGTTTTCTATGACAAAAACATTTGATTTGCCCATATATGGGTGTAGTATGAAATCATGCCCAAATGTAGGCAAATATATTTATCTCCAACAACAGGATGGACAGAGCTTTAGAAATTTACTTGTGCTAACATTTTTTTTAATAGAAAATAAGAAATTTCAGTCAACATTGTAATTTAAGGAGAATTCCATGTTGGGCTCATAAAGAAGTAGAAGAATCCACATCCGAGAGATCTATTTAAATGAGCTTTCTTAACACATCTAAAGATACTTTTCTTTGCATGGTATACCCTTTGGCACTGACTTCCGGGCGACAATTGATAAAACAGCTAGTAAAAACTGTGAAAACATGCCACCCCTGCTCCTACAGTAGCTCAGTTGTTAAAGCAACCAAAGAACAGTAATTGGAAGATAATAAAGCTCACCTTCGAATAGGCCACATTTCAGAAATTTTGGAATTTCAAATATTTTAATTCTCCATATTTGGTATTGACAACTTTATTAATTTGCATTAAGCCCCAGGATTATTCCATATTGTAGTATATTTATACATGACTTACACTTTCATACCAAAATTAATTTCAATTTAATTTATTTAAAACAATTCTTATGAACATACAGTAGGCAAAGCTGCAGCATAGAAAATAACTTGCATATGACAATAACAAACCACTGTATGCTATAATGATGTTAATGCTTAATGGAAATTTGTTTACAAAGACATAAAGAAGAATTAAAAGTTTCTGTTTAAGAAAACACTGCATAACATGAACTGAAATTTGGGAAAATGGATCAATTATTCCTGAAAGTTTGAATCATTAAACAATTTCTATGATTGGTAACATAATGTATACATTCAAGTATTTTTTGAAGGAATAGGCAGTTTTTTGCAAAATCTCATTACAAATGGGCCTCACTGTACAATAAGGCCCATATGTCCAAGCCTAACTGACAAAAACCTTGGAAAGTTCTGGGGTTTGTTTTTTTTTTGGCAAGGACCTCAAATCACTTGTGTAACATTTCAGACAGTTCCTTTTCAAATATAAATTAATATATTTGATACCATCATCATTGATTTCTGCCTGAAAATTATGTAACAATTAAAATAACTATAACTATAGATGATATATAAATTACTGCACATTTATTGTTAAAGCAGATTATCTATGTTGAATGATAAGAATTTGCTTAGCACAGCAATGTAGCCTACTAGATATTTATTACAAACTACAAATTTTTTTAAACGTTAATTCACATATTATGCACACAAGATATTTGCTTCCCATATTGTGTAATAGAATGGGAAGGGGAACAGTACAATCTATTTACATTATTACAACTGTATTAACACTTATATACTAGAATAGGGGGATATATGGTTGAAGAATATAGAAGATATCAAAAAGGAAAAAATCACACATTATTTTCATCACTATATATTGTTTTTGAAAAGGTCATAAATTACTAAGATACTGAAAAAGGTGATTGTTGTCTGCCACCCATACAGCCTCCTCTTGATGGTAGTGAGAACATAATTCTAAAAATATATATTATTATTATATAAACATGTCATCTACATACATTATTTGGTCAAACTAGACACACTTTTACAATTATTTTTTTACTCTTATGTTATTAAGATTAATAATTCAAAATAAAAGTAGTACATGGTTATTAACCAATTTTCAACAAATTACACACAGCAGCAAAATACACCATCTTTATTTATTTATAATATGTGTTTTGTATTTCTACCAGCTCCTCATAAAATGAATATGTTATTAGGATTAAAGAAATTTATATAGTAATAAAGTATATATTATATACAATTAAAATGAATTGATGTAATAAGCAGTTCAACTGAAATTCTATAAAATTCAAGGTTTCAATGTACTTGACGGTTTACAAAATCATGGATACTGTATCCTGGTTTCCTTAATATCGCTACAGTGTTTTCAGTGCAATCGTTGGACTGTGTAGCTGTCCCTGATGCAATCAAAAAGGCTCCCTAATTCGACCGTCCAATCAGCATCACCGAAAGCTGTCGGCGATAGCGTGTAGCAATTGCATGGAAACCAAGCTTAGCGCAACACTAAAATGAGGTAAAAGTTCATAGAAATGCTGTTTATAGGCTGTAACAGCAAATAAAAAGGCATCCATTTGCGTAGATTTGATATATTTAGAACACAATACAACATTACCTCTCTTGGTAATAAATGTTAGACCCCAATTTATGTTTATACTCATCTATCATGAGAAACTTGATTACGAATGTTTATATAACATAATCATATAATCACAGTACTGGAATTCTGTAGTTTATAATTTTTGGGGCATTTTTAGGCTAGGCCAACCCAATATAAATTGTAGGAACTTTGACAGCGGGATTGGCCGCTATCAGAGGTGCGATTTGTTCACCTGTTGGCCTTTTCCTCTCACTGGCAACTTTTTAAAACAATGTTCTTTTATTGTATATTTGCCTATGTGAATTTGAATAAATAAAAAAAATAAAATACTATTTGTTTTGAAGCAGGTGCAACTGAGAAGATGATGCAGAGGAATTCAGTACTGTATAGCGTAGCATTGCGTCAATGGTTATGGTTCATTTCCACCAGTCAATTTTCAAACTTTATTGCAATTCTAGAAAATTTTTTAATAATTATCAAATATTTTTGACTCAGTATAGGAATCTATATTCAGATAAGGCCAAAAAAATAAATAGTTTATTTGACCACCTTTTTTTAAAAAAATGATAAATAGAGGTGGGTGGAAAAAGTTTTTTTTTTAATTTATTTTTTTAAATACTCATCAGATGGAATAAAAATAACCCACAGAGGCCTAGAATAGCAATATCTTACATCAGACAACAACTTTAGACTAATTTGTAGGGCATCTGGCAAAAAATAAATATAAATTCACTCACACTTTTTATAATTTGTGAAGAAAAAACCTAAGTTTTTTTGTTTTTCTGCCCCTATTTTTTCAATGAGTTAGGGGCAGGTGAAAGAGAGCAAACAAACAATTTTTTTTTTGGCCTAATTATTTGATGATGTGTTAGATAAAATTCAGTGTTAGACTTTCAATAACATCAGTCATAAATGCATGCATAGAAAATAAAAAGTAGTAAAGTCAGATGATGTTTTTTGGAATATATGAATAAACAGACAAAATGCATTTTCACGACAAGAACACCAATTTAAGCTGTCTAATAAAAAAATGAAGCATTATGTCTCTTTCTCATGTCACATTGCATGCCATCGACAAGAGCTATAGATATATCTTAGAGAAATTCTAATGAAAACATTACACAAACAGTTACAAATTTTCTCACATAATCCAATATTGTAATTATTGTTTGATATAATTTTTTTGTATTATTTAAAGACCAAAAATTATTTTTTTATTCTTACATATCACATGAACAATGATTAACTATTGCACTAATAAAATTCAGATATAATGTAACGAAATGTCTTCCGTACTCTCTAATTCTATGTTGGCCCAATAGATGTGGCGACTGTACTTCCTATCGTGGTTAATTTTTGCGTGAATGTACTCGTTGTGATCAAATCTGAGGCATTACAATATGATAAATCCACAACTGTTTCACACCGTCCTTCACCCGAATTCACCACTAAAATTACAACTCCACAGATAAATACTAGACATCCAAATATTGCAATTATCAAAGCTGGGATTTTTTGTTTTGACAATAGAGAACCTGACTCTAACTTGATGTATGACAGAGTTGGTAGGATAAACACCAATGGAATAGCACACAGGATACCCTAATATAAATTGAAAATAAAGAATTAATGATTCAGTAAATAATTTAAAAAAAGTAAATTCGTAACATATTTACAATTATTAATTAATTAGATTTATACATTTTAGGCAGGGATTTTAATACCTGTAATGTGTACATAATATTCAAAGTCAGAATCCATTAAAATGAATCATACTTAATCGTGAAATGTAAAGGTAGTCAAGTTAATATGACTTGTCATACATAAATTCAACATATATAATAAAAAAAAAAATTCAACAACAAAAACAGCAACTAATGGTATGCTAGTCTTGGTTACAATTGCATTCAAAAATAAATTAATGATAATTTGTAATATTTAAAATGTTCCTTGAAGGTTGCATGGTGAGTATCAATAACAAAATCATTAAACTTTTGGTACACCATGTGTAAAATTATGGTTTTTGAAACCCACTGGTTGGTTGTTTTTTTTAAATATTTTATTTATAATATTTAATAATATATAATATAGGAAAAGGCCTACTTACATTGAGAGAGAGTACTATACCTAGGCATGCTGTACTCATAGAGAACCCCAGAACAAGTCCAGCAACCACGAGCGTGAAAATAAGATGCCGTGTGTATGGCTGTGGTTCTTCTACCCACCTTTGATGTACACAAAAGTTTTCCAGAACCTAGGTATAAAATAAAAATAGGAACATTTTAAATTCTTTAATCACTATTTATTATTAATCCACATAATAAAATATGTAAATCATAAACCAAACCTTGTTGTATCAAGTAACACAGTTACAAATAACAGAAAATATTGCACACTGATTGTGTGATTTTTTTTATATATAATTTATTCAAACTAGTGAATTTTAACTGATTTGACAATATGTTTACCTTTTATTTTAAATTTTGTTTTTAATCATATTAATGTACTGATATAGTAATCCAATACTGTATATTGATTCAATTATCTATTACAGAATATTAAGTTCCATAAAATCTCACCAGTTCAATGGCTCCAACAGGTGATACATACAAAGAAATATGCAATTCAATATATTCTGTACTTAATAACATATAGAGTAGTGAACACTTAATGAATCAACAATAGAAACAATGACAAAGTTAAATGCATGTTAATAATATTGTGGTTGTTGATGACCCAATTAATGATGACCTAGAGTTTGAAAACAAGCTTTTAGCTTAAATGCAACCTTTGTCTACTGCTACAGTACCTAGAGCCAGGCTCACATGTTGAGGCTACGCTCAATGACACAAAATTGTGAAATACGACTAGAAAAAACGTGTGCCGCCATATACCCTGCTTAACTCCTGTGCACCAGATGATATTTGACAGAGCATGTTGTTGTGCATCTTTTGCAAAGTGCAGCATGTAAAACTGTCTTTGAGATCTGCAGATTAATGTGTGTGCAGGATGATTATGTATACCATAATTTAGATTAATTATATTACAAATTGTTTATTTTTAAGAGCAATTCTCTTCCAAAGCCTCTTATGGTGACGAGTGGATTATCAATTTTTTTTCCCATTAATATTAAATTGTTATTTCCTATCAGCCTATCATATTTGTTAATACTTTTTATAAGTCAATTATAACTCCCAATGTTATTTGCCTATCCCCCACAGTACAATAATTTTTCAATTAGTGGATGTTTGATTTTTTTTAGGTTTGTGTGCAAAAAAAACCTAATTTTTCGTCACCGTGAAGATATTGCGCACCACAATGAACACTGAATTGCAATTGAAAACTACTTTCGTAAAACAAGGTTAATTAGAACCCGAAGAAATTTACTTCAAATTCAATATAAAGTATGAACAATTAAGGAATTCCTGGAATCAATAAACCCTAATAAACAAATATTCTACCTATTTTAAAGACTCAAGAAACGAAATTAGGTGTAGGCCTAGAGCCAGACAGGAGGCCGCCGAGGCCTCCTCTTATAGTGCTAGGCCTAGGACGTAGCCTAGGTCTAGCTATGAAATCATTGCATGATTTTTACCTGTCTGCACTGATCAAAAAGTCAGTGACTGTATTCTCACTCGAATGCTTTAAGAAATGTTATTTCTTTGACTAATGTCTATCGAAATAGCATTGCAAACCAAGTTCTTCTAACACAATACAAATTACAATAGGCCTAGTAATTCATCGTATCAGTACTGAATGTACTTGCTGATGTGTAGTTAACGCGTACTGCAGAAGCACAAATCAGCATATGCATAGCTACGCACACAGTATACTGATCATATCACTATAGTAACCGATGACTGCAACAGTTGGTTATCAAAACCTGGGCAAATTGCCTTGTCAAAACTAACATTAAAAGACGGTGATTGACTTATAAAGCAATTAGTTAATCATGCATCGTACACTAGTGGAAAATTATTATACTGAGGTTAGATTTAATGCATTCAAAAATTATTTTGGTAGGTAGAACATTATTGTATTTTGGTAGGAGAGGAGTACATTTCACAGTGCTGCAGTCAATCAATCATCAACCAATCAATCAACCAATCGATTAAAATAACACTGTGACCTTTGGTAATATTTTCTTATGATTTGAGAAATTCAATGAAATAATCAGAATGAGACTTACCTCACGGCAAACGAAGCATTCCAGTGGGAAGGTACACATGATAGTGATGGCAAACACCAGTCGGGCGGCGTTGGCCAGATCATCATCATAACAATAGTTTTCTAAGATGTCACCTATAAAAGAAAAGTCAATGTTCACACAAACACAAACTACTTTATGATATCTTTATTATATTTCTCTACATAAACAGGTTTTTTGTCATCAAGTGAAGAATATAGTAAAAAATCAGAATGGTGAAAAAAGGAGGCAAATGTAAAACAGGAAAAAAAATGAAATACAAAACAAGAGAAAGGGAAAAGAACAGATCTGGGACAAAGGTGCTTCAAAATTTAACCTCATGATAAGTAATTAATGTTACATTTTAAGTAGTTTTTTTACTTAATGATAATATTTATATTATTATAATTTATATTTTTTATGTGAATAATATTTTAATGTATTTTTGTTAAGTGTAATTTTATGCAAATTATTTTAACAAATGATATGCCTCCCAGTCTTAATGAAAAACACAAAATTTTCCAGGGAGGGTTAAAAAATTGTTTTTAAATATTACAGTATTATGCTCAATTATATTTTACTCTTACTGTAACTGTAGAATTGAAACTGGGGGGAAAGCAGTCCTCTGAAATGTTCTATAGCGCTGTTACACTTGAGAAAATCTAATACTAAACACTGTATTGGGGACTGGCTTGACCAGCTTTTCAACACATGGAATTATGACACAGAAATGTTACAACTGGCAATAGCCAAGTACTCATATTATTCCACTACATGCTTGCATCATCGTAACGTCATAGTCTGCAGCAGCTCAAGGGACTGGTTTGACACTTAGCTATTTTACAAATCAGTTTTAAGACATACTCTATGTTTATATATAAAATTCTATTCTGTTGAAGCGGTTGCAATAGTTGCGGCTCGGATTCCCAACCTTTAGGTCAGGGAGTCCAAAACCATTTGTGCAAGTCGTTGCTTAACAATAGGCTTAAAAGCTTCAAAGGAGCTTTCTTTGTTTTTGTAGGTAGCTTTAATCAGTAGGGTCAAAATGCTTTGATCTTTAGTTTATTCACAGCTATGTCATATACTAGAGGTAATGTTTTGATTGGTTAAACACTTTTGGTACTTGTGCATATAAGCTTGCAAATATGAATAATTTTTCATTTCTGATGATGACATAATGTGAAAATATTGAATTTCTACACGATGGCATGCATTTCGATACTTTGAGTATGTATTACTGTACTATCTGGTCCTATCAAAGAAAACGATGCCAATTTTCAAAAATGTTATCGACTGCTTTATGCTCTTAAACATAATCATTGTTTAAGGAGTGTTGACGATACCATTATTAGAGATGAGTATGAATGCATTATGAATATAGGACACATGTAGTTTTATTACTGGGAAATGTGATCATTCAATTGAATTTGGCTCACTGGATCCATCAACATACGCAAAGAAAACGATGCCAATTTTCAAAAATGTTATCGACTGCTTTATGCTCTTAAACATAATCATCGCTATAGAACATTTCAGAGGACTGCTTTACCCCCAGTTTCAATTCTACAGTTACAGTAAGAGTAAAATATAATTGAGCATAATACTGTAATATTTAAAAACAATTTTTTAACCCTCCCTGGAAAATTTTGTGTTTTTCATTAAGACTGGGAGGCATATCATTTGTTAAAATAATTTGCATAAAATTACACTTAACAAAAATACATTAAAATATTATTCACATAAAAAATATAAATTATAATAATATAAATATTATCATTAAGTAAAAAAACTACTTAAAATGTAACATTAATTACTTATCATGAGGTTAAATTTTGAAGCACCTTTGTCCCAGATCTGTTCTTTTCCCTTTCTCTTGTTTTGTATTTCATTTTTTTTCCTGTTTTACATTTGCCTCCTTTTTTCACCATTCTGATTTTTTACTATATTCTTCACTTGATGACAAAAAACCTGTTTATGTAGAGAACGTTCACTAATGCTCTCCTATCAACTAAAGCCATATGCATTCCCATCTCAAACTCTTATATAGTGTGATGTATGCAAATTAAGGTTTCAGTCATGGCATAGTTTTGATTGGTGGTTCGAACTTTGAGGACCGATTACTAACCACTCACTGTGTTATGGTTAGCGCAGATTTTAAAAAATCCTTTCACAGATGTTTCGACCGTCTCCCCTTATATATCAAGATATAGGCCTACGTCTATATATATATAAAATACTGTATATAAAAATTATATATATACTGTATATAAATTATATCTAATAGTAAACAAAAACAATAAACGGCCACACAATGCAAACAATATAGAATCAATACTTTAGTTCATATATAAATTTATAATATATATAGATATTTATAATATATAATATATACCTATATGCTATGTATAATCGTGTGTGTGGTCATCACCCAAAATGCATGCATGAGAAACGAAAGATACATAAGATTGACTTGATATAACATAAGAAATGTGCAGGGAAGTACTGTTACATTTTTGACTTATACATATTTTTATATTACACACACAATAAACTATCTTTAACAACTAGTATATATCTGTGTACTCTAGAGCCTATATAGCTAGGTTTTCCCTTATTCTTCCACGTGCACAAACCCTCGAAGCCTCTGATCAACAAAAGCCAAATACTGTACTGTACATCATGATCTTAAACTCTTATATAGGGTGATGTATGCAAATTCAGGCTTCAGCGATGGACATCACTGTGATTGTGATTGGTGGTTTGAAATCAGCGATTGTGATTGGTAGTTTGAAATCAGCGTAGCGGAATCTACATGTTAAATTTCAAAAACACTTTCACCCACCCTCTCTTTCTACCAAATATATGAGGCGTGGATTTAGAAAGGGATATGGTAGATGGTCTTGTCACTGAAAAAGAACCTTGAAGCCTCTGCTATCCAATCTTAAGTGAGCAAAAGCCAAATAAAATACTGTACTGTACATCCTGATCTTAAACTCTTATATGGTGATGTCTGTAAATTCAGGCTTCAGCGATGGACATCATTGTGATTGTGATTGATGGTTTGAAACCACTGTGGCTAGCGCCATAGGAATCTACATGTTAAATTTCAAAAACGCTTTCACGACGTTTACCCACCCACCCTCTCTTTCTACCAAAATTATATGAGGCATGGAGGCGGTATGAATTATGAATATGAAATTAAATTTAATGTCTCTCTTCATCACTTAATTGCACATAGGCATAATTTGCAATCTGACTTTCATAAGAAGCTCTTTCCAATGGAAAGAGATATGATATAAAAACATACAATTTCACATATTTCCTGACAATATGTTCGCAAAAACTCTTCATACTTTAAATTTACCAAACCTTCTCTATATTATTGCAAGATCAGCATAATTGCGTCAAAAACTAAGGCCCTGATAGAAAAAGAAATGACTTTAAAATTTGCTTAAAATCATACTATAAGCCCTCTTCCTCAGAGAGTGGACTAAACACTTAAACAGAGATATTAATCATGTAGAAAACCTAAATACAAATCATGAAAATGATAATAATTATAATATTAATGATAATAATCATGATAAAAAAATAATATAATGAATAAAAGATCACTAGATTATATACCGATTACTTTCAATTTAACATGAATCACTTTTATGTATTATAGGCATACGGCTAAGTATGAAATTGGTTGTGCATTACAGGTTGGGGATTTTTTATTCATTTATTTTTATTCAACTTTATTTACAGAGGGTTACCCAAAACAGCTGTTGCTGACAAAAACATTACAGTTCATAAAATTCACAATCACAAAAAGCTAAACAGAAAATTAAAAGAGAGAACGATGCGGGACATGTGCCATTCTGATGTTATTGCAACTGTTGAAGACCTACAATTCACATAAAGATTTACTGAAATATGAAATGCAGTTATTCAAAATGATAAACCTACCCTGAGTGTTGCCAGTAAATGTTGCATAGCCAAAAATTCCGAAAATTGCACAAGGTACAAAAGAAATTAACACAGCAAGATGTGTGACCGTTGACCATTTATCAACAGTGGGATCCTCCAATGATGTGTACAAGAGGAAAGAGTTGTGGTGACAGATAAATGCTAGAAAAAACAGAAACCATAAAGAGTTATATGTAAATTCACTCAGTAGGTGAAGTAGAATTCTCCACATTTGATATCATAGTCAAATTAACATCCTGTGCTAAAATCTGTGAAAAAATCTTCAAAAGTTTATTTTAAAAATACAATGGCTCTTTTAAAAAATCAAAAATGAAAAAAAAAATAAAAAATCAACAATGAGACAAAAATTGAAATTGAGTAATAATAATAAAAATAGTAATAATAATAATAATAATAATAATAATAATAATAATAATAATAATAATAATAATAATAATAGATTGATTTATAAGGCCCAAATAATCAAGGTCTTTAAGCGCCATGTCTAAGTAAAAAGAATGGTAAGGTGAATGTAAAGAAAAAAACAGAAAGAAATTAGTACAGGATTTTTTGTAAGAAAATCCTTAAATGGATTACAAACCTACTTAAGAGTACATATGAAGAATATCGAAACAGTATTATTTATTCGTTCATTAATTGGAGAGAAAAATAATTTCTTATTTAAAAGTAAGCAATTTATTTTTTTGTCAGGTTATAGCTTAACACAGAGTGTAAATTTACTGTATAGTAACAGGTATTAAGCTTTCAGCATTGATCACCTCATTAAAGGTAATGAGAGTTTGTAATCATAATAATAATAATAATAATAATAGCAATTAATTTTTGATTTATATACTGTCTCATTATAGAAGCAATAACCAAGACAACATAACTAAAGAAAGCACACTGTGAAAGTTGTGTCATAGGAAATGTTTGGTACATCACTTAATTGCACATACCTAACAGTGTCCCTCTAGTGATTGACTTAATATCTAGGTTATTATAATGAAAGAGACTAAATATGGAAATCAATATATAGTTAAATAAAGTAAAATGCCAAGCACCCCAAGGGGTACTGAACTTAAGGTTTATTTGATTGGTTAATCCTGGAAAATTGCAATGAATGAATGAATGGATATAATAGTTTTTTTTTTATAATTGTTAAATTGATTTGGTAGAATTAATTTACTGTATATTACAAATAGCTTTTTTGAATTTGTCATCACAAAATCATTCTCATTTCTAATCATTTAATGGTTTGATGAAGTCATTCATAAAAATGGAAATTACCATGGAAATACTTTCAAGATTGGCAAGAGAATTTAAATACCTTAGTGACCTGTTTACAAACTTTGATCGACAATGAGATAAACTATGAAATTGTGCATTCAAATCACAGTGCAAAATGCAACAATTGTAGAAGGAATTAAATAAATATTACTTAATTTATTGTAATTTTTAAAAAATATGTTAGTTTATGTTACTGTTTAAAGCTAATTGTTATTTAGGTACTTCAATTTGGTTCATATTTCCCACTGTTTCCATTCTGTGATATATTTTTGTGTTATAGTATATTATTATTATCTTGGAAATTACAGCCTTGTTGAAGGAAATACTCTGGGAGATACAAGGTTTTTTGGTTTTTTTTAAGACAATTTAATAATAAAGTCATAATTACTATTTTTTATCTGCCATTTTCCCTTTAAGCTTAATTGCTCCATGGTTTTAGAATATTTCATTGGTTTTGATTTTCATTCAAGATAAACACATACTAGAGACTGTTTGTAATAAATAATGTGCTTGGCAACACCATTGCCATTATCATTATTATTTCAGTATTACAAGTTCTTCAAATCCCCTGCAATTTTTATTATTAGGCCATATGTAGTAATAGATTGACTGTTTCCACTTAAACATGACTTTACAATTTGGCATCTTATGAAGTAGAACACAAAATTATTATACCATATATTATACTGAACATCTTTAATCTTTAAGTAGATACTTATTTTAATATATTGTCAGGATCAGTTTTCAATATGTAAATGTAAGTTGTTATTCAAGAATAATTGAACTCAGTGAAGCTTTAATATGTATAATGCAAAACATTCCTTTTTAAAAGCCTGAGGTTGTCCAAGATGGCAGGTTCCATTCTCCTATTATAGGAATTTTATGAAAGTATATTTTTAAATGGTTGTAATTTGGGTATACCATTTGCAATGTCTAACGAATTATATTGATGGTAAACTGAAATTTAAGACGGTCCCTTTTCTAATTGCAAGACAGGCCTCTCAGTGCTGATACAAACACACACAATCTTTAAGCATCTTATAATTCGTGTAATCCATGCATCGCTGATGCATCGCCTCATTCGTCATTCAAATCACATAATTACAGCGAGAAAGACTGGAAGTTAATACCGGTTAAATATCAAGACTTCAAATAAGGAATCATTTCTGAATACATCATTTCAGGAAGCTCCATTAACATTAACATACTCAAGTCGCCTTAGCTTATGTTGTGTAGTCATCAGAATCTTGGTTATTTGGTCACGTTTGTGTGAAACAAAATGCAATGAAATTTTTATGAATAATACATTGTCTTATAGCATTCTCTATCAATCTCTGAATTTAATCAAATATTCATGGCACCAATTTAAATACTGAAAGGATGTTTTATTCTATTATATTAGGCCAAATAATATGTTTAGAAACATGGTTCTCATTGCCTACTCTTTTTTTTAAATTTATTTTTCAAGTCAAAATGTGAAGAATATCTTAGGACACGGCAACCTTGGTTTGGCCAAGGTGGCAATGGTCTGACCAACCCAGCCATGTCTGATCAAGGCATCCTAGTTCTGAAATTGAAAATAATGTGGTCTCTAAGGCTATGTTCACACACACAGCGTAAGGCTGGCTTAAGCATGGCGTAGCATACGCCTTTGTGTGTGAACTAGGCAGTGGCGTTGTTAAAGCCACTCACTACGCCACGTCCTTGGCGTTATTAACGCTACCTGCA